TGTTTGGAATTGCTCATAAAAACAACTTATTGACTTATTCCGGTATGGCACCAGTAATAAGTACTTTCGGATGTTTGGATAAACAACTTATACTGGTGTCAAACCGTTAATAAAGAGGTTTTGAAGAAGTTAAATCTTTTTTACTTATAATAAGTTGATAAGTGTTTTTGTAGAAAAGCTTAAGTTATTTTAAATAAGCAATTCCAAACACCCCCTTAAATGCAAAAAGAAAATTCTTAGGCTCATTAGCTCGTGTGTGAACCCAAGCCTACCATAGGCGGGTTGTATATAAGTTATTAAGCCAACAAAAACACGCTTACGTTTGGTATATTAAGCTTATCTGTAAAAAAAAAAGTGGGTTTTCAAATTTTAAGGATCGATTATCATGTTGAAAACTAGGACCGATATCAGCTTCATTGTCCTAATCAAACTTGATTTAGTTTTCTTAAAATATCACCGTTGGTGCTGCAAAAGCAAGTTTAGACACATTTGGAAGCAAGTTCAAACTTCCATGCCTTCACAATTGGTCCTCAATCAGGCTTCCACTGATCCTTATCAAACATCCAGTCCTCAACTAGTTCAGGGTTTGAAAACTAGAACTGATTCTCAGGCCCCCAAGGACTGGCCTACTCCCAACGTGGGTCCTTTTTGGTTCGATCATTTGTCCTTTTTACCCTATTAGTGATAAGCAATTGTTATTTATGTATTTGTTCAAAACATAATCATTTTGTTCATCGATTAGTTCTATATTATTTAGTTACTGTAATAAACGTTACCACACTTCCCTTTTGTGAGCGTCTTTCGTCTATTCATACTTTGTTATGCACTTTTGCATACCAATGATCCATATAAAATCAATTTTGTCCTTGTTGGTTTCGTGACATCAACATTCTAATTCATGTATCTAGAGTCTGTGAAAATACGATTGTTATGTCAGGCGAATGATCATGTGAGGAAAAGAGTTAAGGTGAGAAGCGTAAGAAAAGATCTGAACTTTTGATTAATTTTAATCTCACACCCAGCAATAAATTGCGTTCCTTACGAGAATTGATCCAGTGCATCTCATTTGTGTCAATTTTCGATTAAGATTGATCCAAAGGTCCATATCGCTTCTTAAGATACAAATCTTTTCTTACACTTCTCAACATAACTTTTTTTCTCAGCCGAACCCAAACCGTGACTTCATAGTACCACCATGATATGCCATTTTCTGACACTCGCATATGAATTATGAACATGTCATCAAAATAAAATGCAAATTTCAGAATATTATCCAAAATAAATATTTTGTTATTACCAAACTACCCCTGCCTTTATTTTCTACTAATAAATTAGTAGTAACTTGACTTTGACTGTGAGTGTGATGTGATGATGTTAAGTGATGAAACTAAACCCAAATTCTCTAAAGTCATGCTTCCTTCCCTTCCTGGACTTAAAGGTCATTCTGGTCACTCTGCAAAAATAAAAATAAAAATAAAAATAAATAAATAAATCGATCCACATGGCATTTGAAACTGGTCAAATACTTCAAATATTTTTAATTCCAAGATATTCTTCATGCTTAATTCAATCAATCTCATTTCCTCATTTTTCTCTCTTCGATAATATGGTAACAAAGCCAATTTTGTGCTCTCGATGCTTCTTTTTTATCTTTTCTATGCCTGGCCCTAGCCACGTGCGGCTGCACAGAACATCAAAGCTCAAGGAGGCATCAAGTTTTTATCTATTACTAGTTTTGAGTTTAATAATTTGAGAATTGAGCAATTGGATTTTAACTATAAACCACATGCCCAAGACGTGGTAGTGATATATACTGAATTCACCTAATCTAAATCATGATAAAGCATCGTGGACCAGTGAACGCCCAACATTCCGACAACCCGAGTCGAATTTCTATTGTTCTYCAAGGTTCGACTCTTCTGATTTTCAAGGGAATGGCGTTTCATTTCCAGCAGATTAAGGGTCATGAAGCTAGATTCAATATATTGAAGATAGAAATCCCGACTAGCTGAATTATAACATGTAGGAGAGTTTGTTTTAGTATAGCGTCATTTTTCTCGTACGTTTCAGTTGTTTTTTTATCATTTTCGCACAGTACATCAAAACCCTTATGAACGACACTGATTTTTTTCAATCAATTAACCAACCAATCATTAAAGTAATAGACAAAATTGCCCCTTATTTTACAATTTCTACCCGTAATATTAAATTATATTATTAAATTATTCTAGCATTTCTTGGTCTTTGTTAGGTATCTAAAAAAAGTCCTTACAAAAATATAAATGATACAAGTGTTAGCTAAAATTAATTCTTAACCAATACCCATAGAAAGTATGTAAGTGAAATAACAGCAAGAATTAGATGCTTGTATGTATGTAAACAAAGGGTATAACGACTCCTCTAAAGGTTCGTTTGGTTTGCTGGATTGTTTTTTAGGGATTTAGATTGAAATGGATTTGAAGTTATTGATGTGTTTGGTTTGTACGATTTGAAATGGAAATGGATTTCATTATTTATAAATAATTTATAGAAAAAATTATAAAAATAATTGAATTACATTTTTATTAACCGATTATTACAAAACAAATGTTTTTAACATTTTTTAAAACCTTATTACATACAATCCTACAAAATTTCTTGTAATCACGAGCACTCCCTAAGGATTTCAAAATCCTATGTTTGAAGGATTTCAATTAAAGTCAAGGATTTCAAATTCAGACAATCCAATAAATCAAACATGGGATTAGAATGGATTTAAATATAAAGTTTGTAGTTTATTAGTATTTTGAATAACTAGAAGAGTACTAGCACAATGCAGCGAGACACAGCAACACACATCTTGATTTTAATTTTCTACTTTATTATTTGTCTCTGTCGATGTTATAATACGATTTTATGTGTTTTTAAGAAAACATTCATGATTTATTTTTGAATAAAATATAAATTTGAAGATATCATAAAAATTTGAAGAAAAATATATCAATGTTAATATCAAATCAATTATTTAAAAGTTCTCATTTTTTATGTAATTTCTTTAATTTATTTTTTATTATAATTTAATTTAAGTTTAATAATGAAATAATTTATTTTTKGKTTWAWWATWWWAMATTTTATAAAGATAATAATTAAGTATTATGTTAGAACTCAATGATTATCTTAATTATATTTTAGATTTTTTATATTTAAAATGAGATGTTTATYCTGTATTTGATTATATTTATCTGCAGTCAGTTACACGAATTCAGATATGAAGCTTTAATAACTTGTACTTACGCACAATCTACTTGCAATCTTGAGTTTTTAAGTAATATGCATTAATAAACAGTACTTTACGCATAAAAAGTAGTTTTTAAAAGTTTTTGTCAAATGCTTTATAATATAGTATAGATAATATAGAACAAATTAAATTTATAATGAATAATAAAACTAAAAAAGAAATAAGAGCCATTGATACTGATATATAGAGCTTGCAAAAGACGATTCAATAGTGCAAAATCAGGATTAAATCTTGTGAATATCAATTCACTACTTTATTTCGTGTACTGGAATGAGATTAAGTTCTTACCTATTTAAGGTTTTAGTTTTTAAGTTTCCTTTTTTATGTTTATTTAAGTCTTAGATCACATACATACTTATCATTTATCTTTCAAGTTATATAAAAATAACCCCACACCTTACAAAATAACGAGTCGTAACGTGCCATGACGTTCTATAACGCATTACACCGCAAGTCAATCCTTAAAGTGGAGCCACAGGGATTCACGACTTAATGTGACGGTGATCCCAAACCTTGACGTTATGACACGCAATAAATAATTATTTAGAACCATGAGTTTTAATATATAACCTAATTTGAATTGTTTAGTATTATTAATTCAACTAATAGTAGAATACACATGTACATATATGCATAATTCCATATGACATAAAGATTTGTCATTGTTGACTTAAAAACTAACTGATAAACTAATAGTATATAATAAAAACTACTTGATAACATATATAAAAATGATGATCTAAAAAAAGCATACAAAATAAGAAGAAAATGGGTCAAAATAGTCATTTATCATCCCCAAATTGGTCTTCTAGCATTCCTCTCATTCATTTATCAAAATGCCACTACTTATGCAATTACCACCTCCACCATTTGCGGACCCAAGAAAAAGACAAAAAAAAAAAACAAAAAAAACAACCCAGGTGTGTAATTGTGACGGTGCCACTTGCAAACCTGGTCTGAACTTGATTCTTTTTTTTGTATTTTAACTAGGTCCGTGAGTGGGAGAGGTGGGACTTGCATAAGTAGTGACATTTGGGTAAATTATGGAGATAAATGACTAAAAGACCAATTTTAAAGTAAAAAATGACTATTTTGACCAATTTTACAAAAATTAATCTGAAGCATATAAAAGAAAAGAATAGATTACACTAAAGAATGTTTCAATTAACTTAACTTATGGGTCGTTTACCAAATACTTACCCGGTAAAATTTAACACTATCACTTACTTACCGGGTAAAACTTTAGTCCACCAATATGGACTCGTATGCAACAATTTACCCAGTAATCGCTTACCATGGTAAGAGTCGTCACCCTCACTTACTAGGTGAGACTCTCGGTCTTTGTCTCCCTCTTATCGAATAAGATTTTTGGTTCTTACAATATTCATCCGATAAGGTAATGTGACTTGATAAATGCTTACTCGTGCACACGTTTAATAAACGACCCCAATTCTATAAATCATAGAAATTGAGTTAATAAAGTATTTCATCCTCCGATTCTATAAAAGGGATACTTGCAGATTACGGTCAAACAAAAAGCAATTGCAGATTTGGGGGGAGCAACCATACGACACCTTCTGAGTAAGTTGTACATTACTTATAGTTACTTGTACCTTTCTGAACTCAGACACTTTCAACAAGAAGGAAAAGCAAGAAAGTTGTACATAATGCATAAAAACTTGTACGTTATGCATAATAAGTTGTACCTTGTTGATCTCCCTGCCTAATACCCAGTAGCTGCTGGGATACTTGCATAATGCCTATCCACCACCTCAATTAGCTTATTTGCAATAGCACTTGCATAAACCGACGACCCTTCACAAATCTGCATATACATATATATACACATATATATATCAATAACATTCAAAATCATCATTATGTACAACCCATTACTGCATAGGTATGCTTGAAACACTTGTACCTTGGTATTGAACAGGTAACTGTAGAAATCACCGATGAGGCCACCACCAACATGATGAAGATCCAATTGAAGTTCATCAAGAACTTTGGAAACAAACAACAAGCAATTGATTCTCTTTTGCTGGACTAATTTGATGGTAACTTCATCATCGATGATCCGGACATCAACTTCGGTGTTCTTCGATTTTCTCTGAAGCCACGAGCTCCGTAATGTGGAAGTCGAATTACCGTTGTACGCTGCTTGTTGATCATGATCACCGCCACCGTTTGGCCTCGTGCTGATGCTTTCAACGTCTAATGTGGAGTCGTCTTCGGTTTTGTGTTTCTTCATCCTTCCTCGATTGCATCTCTTTCTCTCCACGAGAATCGTGAGTTCCGCCACCTCTCTTTTCAGCTCGTTTATGTATTTGATTGCATCTCCTACCACCGATGCTCGATCCGCCTTTTGTTCATCATCAAACCAAATTCATAGTAATTAGATTACGATTGACAACATTTTGATGATTAAAATCAACTACATGCGAAATTAACCGAAAGAATTAAAGGGTATTGACATTAGAGATATGGATGTTATTATACATATATATATATATATATATATATATATATATATATATATGTCTGTGTATGTATATACCTTGGTGGGATTAGGGACCAAGTTCTTTAAGGCATCATATTTATCATTCAGTTGTTGCCTTCGATGCTTTTCGGTGGCAAAATGTTTAGTGTCTTTAACATCTCTTCCTTTTCCAACGATTCCATTAATGTCGCCACTGAACTTCAAAACCCCATCGCCTTCATGGTACAATTGATGCATCCCTTCTCTCTCCATATCCATTTCCCCAAATATCGACCCGCTGGCCGTCAAGTTATACCCGTTTGGCAGAGAATGAAGCAATTCTCTGAAAAACGGAGGCTGTGGAGGGAGGTTTAACGGTAGTAAAGGATCGTAAGTTACTTGACCCGAGGTTTGATCCATGTGGGTCGGGTTTGAGAATGAGATTGATGAATTTGAGCATCTGGGTAACTGGAAAAGATTGAGAAGATCTGGTGGGGTTGGATTTGGAGTGATTAAAGGCATGTTTGATATACAATTGTTGTCGTTCCCCATTTGAATTTGATCGTGAGAGTGAGTGGTCCAATTGAGGTCATGGATCATCTGGTTTTGGTGATCCATATCCATATTGATGAGCTGATAATCTGCTGATGCTTCAATGGAGGAAAAATTGGGGGTTTGATGGAAATTGTGGAGATGGGTTTGGGATAAAGCGTTGTCATCTTGATGATCAATGAGTGATTCCAGATGAGATGGATCATAGTAAGCACTTCCTTCGTACATTTCTGAATTCACCAGCATTTTGTGTGTCTGAATTTTGTGGGGTATGATGAATACGAATTGAAGAAGTTTTGTTAGAAAATCGCCATGGGAGCAAATGAAGAAGGAGATGGAGAAGTAGGTTAGGAGTAGGAAGGGGGAATGGAAGTGAAGAAAAAGGCAAGCAACGAAAGGAAGTTTGTTACCGAGTGTTTCAAATGGGACCCACTCTCTCTCTCTCCCCTTCTTCACAAAAATAAAAAATGTTTTTTTTTCAGGTGTCTTTATTTAATTTGTGTAAATATCTACGCCAAAATTAGCGAAACATTGATAATAAAAAAAAACAGTTAAATCATATATAATTTTTGTATTAAAATTACATGTAAAATCGTATACATGTGATTAGAGGTGTTCAAAAACCCGATCAACCCAACTTAACATAAATTAACTCAACCTGAAGCAATCCGACGTCTAATCAAGTTGTAAAATTGTCAAACCGTAGGCATTGATTTGATATTGGGTTACTATTATTTGAACTCAACCCAACCCGATGAACTTGATATCATTTTATATGTTGGATTTAATATGATTGTTGAATTTCTATTAATATGTACATTAGACAATTACATTATCATGTATGCTCTTCATATACACATATTTTCAATATATTCACATCTTTATATAACTCATTCGTATATATGTTTAGTAACTGTGAACATATATATGTAATTAAGAAAATTAACTGAATGTGATATATGTAAAAAGTATGGGTAAGTTGTATCAAATGATTGATGATGAAAAAGAAACTATGAGTAGAGAAATAACATATTCAAGATTAGAAGAATATTTTAATGTACCAAATTATCAACCCGGCCAACCCATACGGGTTGGATTGGGTTGGGTTGCACTTTGGTTCGGGTTGGATTGAGTTAAGATTTTTCAAACAGCAAGCATTGAGTTAAGTTGTTCAAATGTCTTCAATCCGATCAACCCAACCCATAAGCAACCCTACATATGATATGTTATTTTTTAAGTTCTTTTATTTGGTTAATATTCTTGTTTGAATCTTTTTCTATTGATCAATCTCATAAAATACTGAACTTAAAATTTCTACAAAACCAGGTTTATATATAAGAGAATCTCCAATAAAATTTTCAAAATATAAAAAAATAAATATTTTGAGAAATTTAAATAAATTTTTTTTATCCACAAAATTCTTCAAAATGAAGTTTTATTATAGTTCACAAGTTTTATTTTATTGAAAAGAAATTTATGTAAATAATTAAGGGTCATTTTATATTTAGATGACCGTACAAATCTTTAGGTGCGATTTGTTTTTACATATCACAAAGCTAGTTGTGTTTTATAAAGTTGGTCCTCATGTGTTCAAAAGTTGTAACATTTTAAAATTTTATTCCTTTTTTTAGAGTATATTAGAAGAGTATTCGTGCAATGTTGTGAGACGCATCTTGATTTTAATATTCTATTTTATTATTTGTCTCTTTCGATGTTATAATACGATTTTATGTATTTTTAATAAAACAATAATGATTTTATTTTTGAATAAAATATAAATTTGAAGATATCATAAAATTTTGAAAAACAATTAATATCAATGTTAATATCAAAATTAACTATTTAAAAGTTCTCATTTTTTATGTAATGTCTTTAATTTATTTA